GGACCCCAGAATCTCTATCTGAGCTCAGTGGTAAAGGTCTTCCCCTGCATGAAGGCAGTCTGTAAAGGCTAGCAGATGTGGCTGTGTTTTCAAATGGTAGATCCCAACACAAGGTAACAAGGCACACAAAGGGAACAAGGAAAACATGGCCCAACTAAGAGAACAAAATAAATCTCCAGGAACTGACCCTAAAGAAACTGAGCTATATGAATTACCTGATAAAAATCTAAAACTAACTGTCATAAAGATGTTCAACAAGCTCAGGAAAACAATGCATAAATAAAATGAGAATATCAATAAAGAGAAAACACTAAAAAGAACCAAACAGGAATTTTGAAGCTGAAGAATACAATACCTGAATTGAAAAATTCAAAAGATGGGTTCAAAAGCAGTCTTAAATCAAGCAGAACAAAGAATCAAGGAACTCAAAGATAAGTCATTTGAAATTATCCAGAGGAACAAAAAGAAAAGAGAATGAAGAAGAATGAAGAAAGGCTTAAGGGACTTACTGAACATTATCAGTTAGATCAATACATGCATTATGGAAGTCCCAGAAGGAGAGGAGTGAAAGGAGCAGAAAGCTTATTTGAAGAAATAATGACCCAAAACTCCCAAATCTGGGGAAAGAAATGGACGTTCAGATTCAAGAAGTCCAACAGCTTCTTTATGGGATATAGCAAGGGCAGTTCTAACAGGGAATTTCATAGTGGTAAATGCCTACATTAAAAAAGAAGAGACTCTCAAATAAACCACCCATCTTTACACCTCAAAGAACTAGAAAAAGAAGAATTAAACCCAAAGTTAACAGAAGGAAGTGATAAGGATTAGGGCAGAAATAAAATTTTAAAAAATCAACAAAACAAAGAAGTGGTTTTTAGAAAAGATCAGCAAAATTGACAAACCCTTAGTTAATAAAAAGAGAGAGAAGCCTCAAACATAATCAGAAATGAAAGAGGAGGTATTAAAATTGATGTCAGAGAAATACAAAGGATCGTAACAGACTACCACGGCCAATTACTCATCAACAAACTGGATAACCTAGAAAAAAAAGGATAAATTCCTAGAAACATATAACCTATCAAGACTAAATAATGAAGAAATAGAAAATCTGAACAGACCTATAACTAGTACAGAAACTGAATCAGTAATCAAAAACCTCCCAACAAAGAAAAGTCTAGGATTCAGTGGTTTCACTGGAGGATGCTACTAAACATTTAAAAAAGAATTAACACTTATGCTTCTCAAATTCTTCCAAAAAATTTGAAGAGGAGGGAACACTTCCACACTCATTTTATGAGGCCAGCATTACTCTGACACCAAAGCTGAACGAAAACACTACAAGAAAGGAAATACAGACCAATATCCCTGATGAATACAGATGCAAATCCTCAACAAAATATTAGCAAACTGAGTTCAACAGTTTTAACAACACATTAAAAGGATCAGACACCATGACCAAGTGGGATTTATTCCAAGAATGCAAGGATGGTCCAACATACAAAAGCCAATCAATGTGATACACACCACATTAAAAGAACAAAAAATTAAAACTCACATGATCATTTCAATAAATACAGAAAAAGCATTTGACAAAATTCAACACCTTAAATTATTAAAAACACTTGACAGATCAGGAACAGAAGCAAATTACCTCAAAATAATAAAAGCCACATATGAAAAGCCAATGTCTAGTATATACTTAACTGTGAAAAACTCCAAGCTTTTCCTTGGAGACTAGGAATAAGGCAAAGATGTCCATTGTTACCATTTCTATTCAATATAGTACTAGAAATCCTAGCTACAGCAATTAGGTGAGAAAAGAAAATGCATACAAATTGGAAAGGAGGAAGTAAAATTATCTGTTTGCAGAAACACGATCTTATACATAGAAGACTCTACAGACTCCACAAAAAAACCCATTACAATTTAAGCAATTCAGCAAAGTTGCAGGATAAAAAAATTAATATAAAAAAGAAGTTGCATTTCTATACACAAAAATGAAAAATCAGAAAAGAAAATTAAGAAAATGTCATTTATAATAGCATCAAAAAGAACAAAATACTTAGGAATAAACATTACCAAGAATGTGACAGACTTGTACACTGAAAACTACAAAGCACTGCTTAAAGAAATTCAAGACACAAATAAATGAAAAGGCATCCTGTGTTCATGATTGGAAGACTTAATATTGTTAAAATGTCCATACTACCCAAAGCAATCTACAGATTCAATGCAATTCCCATCAAAATCTCAGTAGCACTTTTCTGAGAAACAGAAAGATCAATTCTAAAATTCATATGGAACCACAAAGGATCCTGAATAGCCAAAACAATTTTAAGCAAGAAGAACAAAGCTAGAGGCCCCATACTTCCTGACTTCAAAACATATCACAAAGGTACAGTAATCAAAACAGTACAGTACTGATGTAAAGAGAGACACATAGAACAACGGAAGAAAACAGAGAAGGTCTCATATATGGTCAACTGATCTTCAACAAGTGTGCTAAGAACACACAACGGGAAAAGGATAGTTTCTTCAACAAATGGTGTTGAGAAAACTGGATTTCCACATGCAAATGAATGAAACTGAAGCTTTATCTTACACTACACAAAAATCAACTCAAAATGGATTGAAGACTTAAACAGGACATGAAACTATAAAACTCTTAGAAGATGGGGCTTCCCTGGTGGTGCAGTGGTTGAGAATCTGCCTGCTAATGCAGGGGACACGGGTTCGAGCCCTGGTCTGGGAGGATCCCACATGCCGTGGAGCAACTAGGCCCATGAGCCACAACTACTGAGCCTGAGCGTCTGGAGCCTGTACTCCGCAACAAGAGAGGCCACAATAGTGAGAGGCCCGCGCACTGCGATGAAGAGTGGCCCCCCGCTTGCCACAACTAGAGAAAGCCCTCGCACAGAAATGAAGACCCAACACAGCAAAAATAAATTAATTAATAAAAAATAAGGAATGATATTAAAAAAAAACAACTCTTAGAAGAAAATACAGGGGAAAAGCTTCATGATACTGGTCTTAGCAATAATTTTTTTTTTTTTTTTTTTTTGCGGTACGCGGGCCTCTCTCTGTTGTGGCCTCTCCTGTTGCAGAGCACAGGCTCCGAACATGCAGGCTCAGCGGCCATGGCTCACGGGCCCAGCCGCTCCGCGGCATGTGGGACCTTCCCGGACCAGTGCACGAACCTGTGTCCCCTGCATCGGCAGGCAGACTCTCAACCACTGCACCACCAGGGAAGCCCTTAGCAATGATTTTTTAAATATGACCTGGCAATGATTTTCTGGATATGACACCAAAAGCACAGGCAACATAAGCAAAAAGAGACAAGTGAGACTACATCAAACTAAAAAGCTTCTGCATAGCAAAGGAAACAATCAACAGAGTAAAAAGAGGATCTGTGAAATAGGAGAAAATATTTGCAAACCAAATATCTGATAAGGGTTAACATCCAAAAGTAAATAAGGAACTCCTACAAGTCAATAACAAAAAATCAGATAACCTGATTTAAAAAATGGGTAAGAGACCTGAATAAACATTTCTCCAAAGAAAACATAAAAATGTCCAATATGTATATGAAAAGATGCTTGACATCACTAATCATCAAAGAAATGCAAATCAAAACCACTGTGAGATATCACCTTACAGCTGTTAGCGTGGCCATTATTAAAAAACAAACCAGAACCAAAAGAAAACAAAATAAGAGTTTTCAAGGATATGGAGAAAAGGGAACCCTTGTAAATGTTGGTGGGAATGTAAAATGGTGCAGCCATTATGGAGACCAGTATGGAAGTTCATCAAATTACTAAAACTAGAACTATTATATGTTCCAGCAATCTCACTTCTGGGTATTTATCAAAAGAATTGAAAACAGGATCTAAGAGATATTTGCACTCCTATGTTCACTGCAGTATTATTCACAATAGCCAAGAAGTGGAAAGACCTAAATATTCACCAGCCTATCAATGGATAAATAAAATGTGGGGTATATACAGTGGAATATTATTCAGCCTTAAAAAAGGAAATCCTGTCATATAGTACAACATGGGCGAAACTTGAGGGCACTGTGCTAAGAGATACTAACCAGTCACAGAAGGACAAATACTGCATGATTCCATTTTTATGAGGTATCTACTGTAGTCAAACTCACAGAAGCAGAAAGTGACATGGTGGTGGTCAGGGGCTGGGAGGAGGAGGAAAGGGGGAGTTGCTGTGCAATGGGTACAGAGATTCAGTAATGCAAGATGAAAAAGTTTGAGAGATCTGCTGCACAATGATGCATATATAGTTAATAATACTGTACACTTTAGGGCAGATCTCATGTTACGTGTTTTTTTTTTACCACAAAAAGGGGGGAAATGAAGTTTGTATGACATGACTTGTTCACGATGAATGGATGCCAACTTCTAGGGATCAGCATTTCCATCTGCAAGTACTCACATCTTTATGGAATTATCTTTATGGAACTGGATTAACATCAAGCTCCCCAATAGGGTTTTCAAAATCCACTGTCCCCTTTTTGGAAATCAGAGTGACACCTGTCCATCTTAACCTTCTAGTACCTATCCTTTTATCTAGGATTTCCTAGATTACTTACAGTGGTATAGAAAATACATCTGCAAATTCTCTTAGAACCCTGAAATAAAATTATCCCGGGGCAGAAGAATTGAAATAAATGACAATGGTTAGATGCTTACTTATATGCTTTCTTATATCCTACTTACTTATCTCAATTTCTCTCTCACCAATGGTGTCTGCACCCTTTCCAAACTAATGTGCATTCTCTCACAGAGAATGTTCTAAAACAAACTAAAACAAAAAATGTTGAGTAATTTTGCTTTCTCTATCTGCTCACATTACACCAAACAGCAGGCCCAAGTTTGTAACAGTACAATTAAAGTAATCAAATGCATGGTACTGTAGATATAAGTTGTGATGATTTACATAAACTTTAAGAATAGAGCTATTAAAATTCTAATTTCACTGCTTACTTTCAAATATGCAGCTGCCTCTTGGACAGAAAGTGTTCTCTGACTAGAACTGCCACATTCATGATCTCCTGGAAAGATTAGCATATTATTAATTTTGAATCAGTACTATGTTAAACAGAAGAAAACAAATATGATTAATCAAACTAGTTTTACAAATTACACAATTATAGATTATATTATTATAATCAGTAAAGAAAGAAGATAAACACTCATTTATATTTTCTAGAAATAAATTTCAATAGGCAATATAAACAAATATTTTTATATCAACCACAACCTTTAAATGTATTTCAGTCTAGACAGAAACATACATTCCTCTTACATTCCCAATGAAATTGTTAGCCAGGGGTAGGAACCATGTCATGCTGATGCCTATCCATAGACCTTGGCACAAAGAAAGCCCTCTACAGATGTATTATTTTTCAAGGGGGAAAATTCATTGTGCTAACTCATACATCTATTAACTAAAGCTAATAATTCAAGAGTTCAAGTTTGAATTAAAATGTGCATTTTCGGAGTATTACTAAGCCTATCTTTAGCAAGGAGTATGCATAACTTAAAAAATTATTATAACACAAATCAATAGGGAAATTAGAAGCTTCTACCTATAATCTGGTTTCTACAAATACGTGTACTACATATAAAAGTTTGGAAAACTACATTTTCCTTTTCTTGTAACTATTTATTATAAAAGAATCCAAAGCCTTTTTTTTTCTTTTTCAGGCTATCTGTGGTTATTAGAGATCAATTATCCTTACAATGAACTTCAATTTTAAGTTTCTCCTACTTGTTTCTTTCAAGTACTTTTTAAAAAAAAAATTTAACATAAAAGTACAATAATTAAAGTAAAATCCTTGGCAAATTTTTCTATCATAAAAGCAACCATGTTCCTATTTATCGTTTTGTTCAAGTAGCCAGATTTTAATGGTCATGGTTGTAAAACAGGTAGAAATACCTATTAGATGAACATGTAAGTCTTCAAACTTTATAATCCATCCTCAGAGATTCCAATTCCACAGATCTACAGCAGAGGTTGGCAAACCCACAGACCAAATCTGGTCTACCACCGGTTTTTATAAATGAAGCTTTATTGCAACGCTCATTCATGTATTATCTATGGCTGCTTTCAGGCTCTAACAGCAGAAATGAGTAGTTGTGACAGAGACAGTCTATCCCACAAAGCCTAAAAAATCTATCTGGCTCCTTCACAGAAAAAAGTTTGCAGACCCCTGCTGTAGAGGAAGGAATCTACATCTTTAAAAGCACCCCAGACTATGCCGATCTAACACACTTCATAAAACACTGCTATAGAGACAGCTCTAGAAGCTTGTAGCAGCAACATGAGGAATTCCATGTAGATTATATACTTCATTTCTGGGTGCTACAGCATACCAAATAAATGTCATCAGTTTGCAGCATATGTATATAACAGTCTGTCAGTCAATGCAAAGAAGACTTTTAGTGATATACACACAATTATTAGCCAAAAAAAAACTGACCAGAATTAAGGACCCCCAAAAAAAACAAAAGCAAAGATTGGTGAGAGGATGGGGAACTGTCAGGATTCTCAATGCTACCATTCGACCAGAGGAGTTCCACATTCACCTACTAGGTTTCTACCAATGATCTAGTTTCTACCAAAGGATCTGCTACAAACAAAAGTTTGGAATACTACATTTTTCTTTTCTTGTAACTGTTTATATGAAGAGAATCCAAAGTCTCTTCTTTCAGATTATATGTGAAATAACTGAAAAAAGTTAAAAGGTATTAAACAGATAAGGTTCTACTACAGCTTTTATAAATGCTAAACTTCATGCCAATTCACCTATATTATTCTAATTGCAGGTATGTTGCATGCCTGAGAACTCTCAAAGTCTTACTAAGACCAGAATATGAGGAAAATGCGATGTTTCAGGAGAAAAAAATTCTGTAATATATTTATTTTATCCAAGGAAATGACACCTATACAATCACCAAAGGAAAATCTGCACTTTTATATTTAATTGAGGATTTTAGTTAATCCACTGCTTACCCAATTTAGCTGATATATAAGCTTTCAGAATTTTGTTATTATCAATGCAATAAAAAAATGTGATGACTTTTACCATAGAGTATATATCTATATTTCATTGTATACATATGGCAGGCAGGAAAAAGGCCTTGATTAAACATATCTATACAGATAAAAACCCACTCCATATAAGGACTAAAACTTCTAAAGAGAAAACACCCCACAATGTAACATAACAACACTGAACTTGGGAAAAACCATTTCTACTGATACTGCATGCTATATATGCAAATTAATTTTCAAAACAGTTTTAGAGACTATGAATGTTAAAACAATTACCTGCAAGCTGTGCCAATCGATCATGAAGCTTGTATAAACTGTTCATCATAAGATTTTTCTCACTTTCCTAAATTTAAAAGAAATTATTATAAAATATCCGATTCCGGGGAGAAAAATGCACCAATTAATAATTTTTATTCGAAAAGAAAAACAGTGAATGAATTTAAAAACCATAGAAGCTACATAATCTGAAAGACAAATTCATATTTAACCAACGGCTACCATATTTTAAAGAAACCTTAATCTAAGAATCTAAACTATCACTCTAAATATTTTACCTTCTCGAGGATGATTGGGAAACTGGCACTAAGGTTAGTGCTAGAAAATGTCTTATATACAACAAACTCCCCCAGCCACCAAAACAATGCTCCCAATCCCCCTCTATACAATGCACGCTCATGTGTATTCTTATGAGACTGTTTTCTTCATGTTTTGTTTTAACCTGCCTCAACCACATAATAAGGGAATGAGTAGTGACACTTCAATTAAATTAACCCTCAATCCCTCCTAGGTCCCAAAGTGGCCCTGTATAAATTTATGAACCATTAAAGTGAAACAAACATTTAATGAGCATCTACTACGAGTTAAGAACTGTTCTCAACAAAGCAAGAAACCCAGGGAACAAGATGGTTCCTGTTCTCAAGGGCAAAAAACATACTAAACGTTATATTATAGTTGCAAACAAGGTACAATGTAAATACAGAAGATGGAGGGGAGGGAAGATCCATTTATGGAAGAGGGAATATCTGAATCGGGCTTCACAGAAAGAATAGAATTGACCAGCATTCCAGGCAGAAGGAACAGAATGGGCCTGAAGGAATAAAACCTTTGGTTATATTTCTTACATAACCAGAGTCTACTTTGACTCAGCAAACTACTAGAAAAGCAGTTTGGAATCAATGGCTAGAGAGCTCTAGATACCAAGACAAAGAGTTTGACTTCATTCTGAACATTTAGGACAAGAAAAGTAAAACAGAACTGTGCATCAGGAATATTATTCTGACCATATGAAAGGAAACCAGAGTGCAGACTACTGCAATGTCTAAGCACCCTGACAAGTAGTCTAAAGCAATGAGACCTCAATTTAAGAGCAATCACAATTAAGAGAAACTGATACAAGCAACGGGGGAGGGTAGGTTAGGGGGTAAGAATAGCTTATCACACTATTTGAAATAAACTCATGATTTATGAGGGGGCTATGTCTTTATTATTTCCTTTCTCCTTAAGTTTCTAACAAAATAGGATTACTGTATGAATATGACCAGGAACAAATTCAGACAGGATAGTAAAAAAGCTGGGAAAGTAATATTCATATGCCCAATGACATGTAATCTCATCCATTTGTTTTCACGCTATATGTTCAAGGACAGAAGAGACAAGTCTGCACACTATGGATGGCACACTATGGATCAATGCAGCTTTAATGAGTGGTACTAGGAAGAGAAAAACTCATCAAAGTCTCCATAATCCTACCACCAGAGTCCCTGGCTTTATGTGAGATGGTTGCTAGAGATAAGTGACATTCCTTCAGCTGACTACTTGCCTTCCAACCCATTTGCTTTTTACCCCCTCAACTCTATCTCAACCTGATTCAGAATCAAGCCAGTCCTTATCACATAAGCTTAAAAATCCAAACTGCAAAAATTAGACATCAAAAAGTAACCGCAGGGGCTGAAATTCAAGATTCTGAAAGCTATGCATCTGTGATAGATTAAACCACAAAATCGTTTTTTAATAAATATGTTCAATATAACAAGATGAGGAGTTCCAATGATAGTGTAGGTTGTGGACTTGACATATAAAGCCAAGGTAAATCTGATTAAGCTTCAGGACTAAAGTGGTTGAGAGTTTTGAAGTTTGTTTCCTTCCTTAACTGGAAAAGAGACCGACTCCCTTTTCATTTTGCATGTCCTGATCATGCCTATCCCCACACCCCTTTCAAATCCAAAACTAAATCCGAAAATTTGACACTGTCCTTCTGTGATTACATCTTTAATGAACATCAGAGGCCTGGGAATAAACTTCATCTATTGATTCACATATATTAACCCTGGACTAGGACTTCCCTGGTGGTGCAGTGGTTAAGAATCTCCCTGCCAATGCAGGGGACATGGGTTCGATCTCTGGTCCAGGAAGATCCGACATGACATGGAGCAACTAAGCCCGTGCACCACAATTACTGAGCCTATGCTCTAGAGCCCACGAGCCACAACTACTGAGCCCGTGCGCCACAACTACTGAGCCCACGCGCTCTAGGGATTGCGTGCTGCTACCGAGCCACATGCTGCAACTACTGAAGCCCGTGTGACTAGAACCCATGCTCCACAACAAGAGAAGCCGCCACACAGCAACAAAGAGTAGCCCCTGCTCACCACAACTAGAGAAAGCCTGTGTGCAGCAACGAAGACCCAATGCAGCCAAAAAACAAATAAATAAATACATTAAAAACAACAACAACAAAAAACACTGGACTAGACAAGTAGAAGAAATAACAAAACCTAATCATATGTAACTGGATCTCATACTGGATAACATACATGCTATTCCATTCGCATACAATGCATTTAAACGCCCAAAAAGCTCAGCTATAATTTTTTCAAGAATTATTTTTCCAACAGCAACTCATTCAAAATGACCATGTATATATTACAAGGGTGTCAAGTGCCATCCAAATAATCAACTAAATTACGACCTAAATAGTTTTTATGGAACATTTTATTAATTGGAACAAATCAATTTTGAGAAATAGAAAGGTTCAATAATCTTTAGCACCAATATGCTAAACTAGAAGTAAATCCGAAAAGGGTGTAAATCAAATGTTAAAGTTACTTTCTTACAGAAACTGATATTGGCTTATAGTTTCATTACAAACTTCTTCCATTCTGTCTGCTTTTCAGATTGCCTCCTAATATTCAGCTTGAAATGTGTCTACTGATTACCCTGAAAACAAGTTAAAGACCTACAAATAAATCCATATTTAAAGTAAGCTTTCAAGTAACCTTCCATTAAACAAAAATAATTTTTTAATTTGAAATAGCTACCTTCTATTCTAATTACGTGTTTTGATAAGCTCCAGATTTTCTTTTACTAACACAAATCATTCTCTGAAGCAAAGTTCTCATTCTTGGGGGAAAAACCAAACTGTAGGGTGACTCTACCAAATTTTCTCACATATTATCACCTTTAAATATTTCCCTCTTGTATCTCAGCCAATTTTCTCAAGGATATTTTCAATTTTTGTATCAAGTCCCTGATTAAATGATATTAATGGATTTTAAACACTTAGCATAGTGCCTGGCACAGAATAAACACTTAATGTAAGTTAATTGCCATTATCTTCATTACAATTATTATTATTATTTAGAGATTAGGAACTTCAGGTTCCCCCAAGGGGAAAATTATACAGAAGAAAATAAAGTCTTGTCTTTTCAATGTTCAGTGAGTATATTGTGCAAATTTAAATTATGATGCCAGCAGCAATGTTATACTTAATATGATAAAGTCAACTTTTTTAAAAAAACAATATCACAACAATAGAATACTACAGAAAATAATCATTACTAACAATCTAAAGTAACATTCTATGGGTCTGATTACACATTATTACATATCATTTAGTACAACAAATAATGTTTTCTGTACAGGTCTGTATTACTGTCAGTTCCTATAATAAAAAAAATTAACAACTAATTGTGTATTATAATATAAACTCAAATATCATAATCTTTGGAGTGCCTATAATGATGAATGGTAAGTGAAAAATGTTTTCATGTGAGTAAAACTTAGGTTAAAATTAATATTATAAATCCTTTAAAAATAAAAGAAATCATAAATAAGTTGCATAAGACTCTAAATCCTTTGCCTTCCTGACAGTTGAAAAGGCATGCCGATGAGCAAAAAATCGAAAGAGAACAAAAGGAGGGCAAAAAAGACAAAAACTGCTAGGGTACCCAACAATTAAGAAAACAGGCATACTTTTAAGGGTAAGACCAGATCCCCAGATGACATGCCACTGCCATTTTACTTGGCAGTGGCTTTTACCTCAAAGTGATAAACAGGTCAGCTCTTAGGTGGAAATCGGTGTCAGATTTAATTATACTGTGGTCAAGGAATACTCAAAAATAAGAAAATTTATTGCCTTTAAAATTACTACTTTTTAGGTGATAGTCATCCTACTACCTTTATCATATAAAACGTAAGACAAAGTATCAGTATTAAGATTTTTTACTTACTTTTATTTTTCCAAATGTTTCATCAAAGGGGTTTTTTACTATCAAGGAAAGAAAAAGAGAGAACTATTAGCATCATTTAAGAATGAGAATTAGAATCCCCCTAAACAAGCCCTCGGAAATGCCAAAGTGTACTATGCTAAAACTGAATGTAAACATGCAAACAATATATAAACAAACTGATGATAATAAAGGTTGGGGAACTAAGTTTTCAGACTTACTATATTTACCATTCTCACTATGATTTTGTGGTTTGCTCTATAATACTTAGAGTGACTTGGTTCAAGTCCTAGCTCCACTACTTACTAGCAACGTGGCCTTGAACTACCATCTATTCAGCCACTCTAAGTTGTAGTTTCCTCTTCTGTAACGGAAGGATGTAATGATGATACCTACCTTATACAGTTGTGAGGATTAAATGAGATAAACCATATAAAATGCTTGGCATAGTGTCAAACACTTAATATATGTTACCTATTATCGTTACTATTAATGACTATCATTTCTTCACCTTAACTTGGTTTCTCTTCAAAATATAGACTAAAGGCAGTTACTACTTGAGGAAATCTACAAGATGCTTTAAAACTGAATAATTCATTTAGAATTCTTACTTCCAATGATTAAAAAACAAAACTTCCTAGTCCTTGCTAACATCTGGAAAAGTGGCATGAAACAAATATACACATCAAAGTGGCTAAGAATAAAGTCTCAGTATTAAACAACTTCTTACTTCTAATAAATATTATAAAGAACGGATTTACCACTTTCCATCCAACCTCCATACATCCACCCTCCCCCAAAAGATACAAACAAGTTCATGGCTGATTATGTAGCATCTCTCTGGTTATTATTTAGAATCTCCTCCTTTTCCTCTATTTTAAAATTGCATGCAAAAATATTCAAAGCTTTCAGATACCTGGATCTCTATAAGCCAGGTCACAACTAAGACTAACTGAGCCTACAAAGTAGTTCACACTGACCAGGTTTCCTTTCTGAGGTGCTTTTCTATTTTTATTTGAGAAAACAGGAAGTCCCATAGGAACCAGGAACTGCCTGATTCTAAGAAAGTTCATGTGTGAGACCAGTTTAAGTTAAAAGGTACAATAAAAAATAAGGCAAAAATGTATTCTTCTATCATCTAAAGGGATTTGGTAATGAATTTTCAGACATCATTTTTCTATAAAGCAATAGGGTTTTCATGCTGAGAAAGAAAAAATTTTGAAAAACAGAAGATCAGAAGTACTCAGTAGGGGACTAGGAAGAGGAATATAGCCTAAAGATTAAATAAAATGTTAAGAATCAGAACATGCTTAGACTAAAAAGATACTTTTTAATAACACTAATTTTAATTAATGTAAAATTCGAACAATTTAAAATAAAGCCATATTTAGTTCAACATACTACCAAAAATGCTTTTGTCAATCTACTTAAAATAAATTGGTCAAACAATACTAAACAATGAGTATTTTATTTGCCCTCTATAAGAGTAATTCTAAAAAATATTAAAACATGCAATTCTAAAAACAGGTTTTAATATCTATGAAGAAAGGCCATGAGAGGACCATTTTTTGACTGCTTACAAATTTGTTTCTGTTAAAATTATTAAATGGAAAACTAGCTCTTCAAGTATCTCTATGAAAGTATTACTGTAGATTGTGGATGCTCTGCCACTAGACTGCTCTACTATGAGTTTCTCATGACAAGGGATCACGTGTATTCAGGTTTGTATGCTTGGAGCCAAGCATAGTACTGAACATACAGTCAGTGTTTGAAAAGTACTATTTGAGCTGTCTAGGCTAAATCTGTCCTTCTTTATTCTACTCTACGTGTTAACACTGAAGCAAAAGTGTTAAACTCTGCAGGAAGCTGGAGAAGGGTACGTTCTGAGCAACTGGAAAGGGAGAGGAATAGGATAACAAAGGGAAAGCCAAAGAGCAGAACAGTAATTCTGTTGAAAAACGTTGCTCTGCCATTTGTATCTTTCTAAGTTTCTGTCTCTTGTCTAATAGGCTTAGATACCCGAGAGCATAACATATCTGAAAGCCAACAATATACATACCTACTGATAAAAAAATGTTCCCCAGCTTCCTGTGACAACTGTCACCTATTAAATTAACAGATGGACCTATTAAATTAACAAAAGTAAATGTAGTCTTGAGGTTAAGTTTAAAAAGGAAACTCCATCTAAAAACAGCAATTTTAGCAAACAAAAGCATTTTTATGCATCTAACTTTTATTCCCCTAAATCATTTCAGTATTTCTAAAACTACATCAGTACTTTTTATCTCATCCGCATTACCTACAATTTCTAATGGATACAACAAATATTGTTACCCCTAGTGAAAACATTCCTCCCTCCCCCTGCTAACTAGGCAATTGTAGAGAAGAAACCATATTCCAAAAGCAATCTACAGCAAATGCCACCTCATTTTTTAGCCTCTAAAAAATGGAAACTGAGAGTAAATTATAGTTCTTATCTCTTATCCTAAAGCAATGATAATGCCAAGTTGGTATTTCAAACTTATTGTCCTCCTATAACCCCTACACCCCGAATAGCTTCTCATTACTGCTTTTTCTCAAATCCTTCTCATGTGGCCATTCCTCCTTCATTTTTCTTGTTCAGATTATTTCAAACCTCAAATATACCAAACTTTTTTTTATAAATGTCCTTAAATTTTGACTTCTCTTCTTCGGACTATCCTAATAATTGTAAAAATCAAAGTCCTAAAAATATTTCTTTAATTATACTACTAGACCCCTCAAAATCGTCCAATGATTTCTCATCACATTTTGCTTCAAGGAACTAATTCTAATCTTGTGATCGTTTCCTACTTACTTTCAAGACACATTGTTTCCTCTCCTTCTCTAAGCCTCTTTCTCTCACATAAATTGCAAAAAAAAGTTACTAGTTTTACTGATCCTTTCTATCAAGTGTAAACTCTTTTCCATTCTCTTAGGCTGAGATCAAACTGTCGACCATTATGAATTCCCAGATAAAAAGGGAAAAAATGAAGTATATTATAAATGTAGGTACATTGTTTTTTTAGACATAATGCTATTGCACGCTTAATGGACAGTATAGTGTAAGCATAACTTTTACAGGCACTGGGAAACCAAAAAACTCTTGTGACTCCCTTTATTGCAATATTCGCTTTATTACAGTGTCAGGAACCAAACCTGTAATATCTCCGAGGTATGCCTATATTCGCAAAGTGTGTTTAATGTTGACCAAATGAACTGATGTCCTCCTCAGGAAGGCCCCATTTTGGTCACTCAGTGGCAATAAAGGGAAGAAAAGTCTGTGATGACCACAGTTCTTTTACAACTCAGAAAGAAAGATAAAGTTTATTCATTTAATAAGTATTTATTGAATAGTTTGTGCTAGGCACTGGAAATGTGGCTGTGAATAAAATAAATAATATCTCTGCCCTCAAGGAGCTTATATTTTAGAGGCGTTAGAAGAGACAATGAGCAAATACACTTTTAAAATATATAGTATGTCAAATGGTTCTAAGTGCTTTGGAAATAAAACAGCAGGAATGGTGCTTGACATGTGAGGGAACTTCTATACTGTTTTCCATAGTGACTGTACCAATTTACATTCCCACCAACAGTGTACAAGGGTTCCCTTTTCTCCCCTTTTCTCAGGTTGCATTTGAATAGAAACCTGAGAGAGCTGAGGGAACAAGCCGTGGACTGTGAAGGAAGAGATTTATAGACAGAAAGAACAGGAAGTGTATGGGCTGTGAAGTGGCAGCATGCCTGCCATACTACTCCCGGAAATAGAGCAGTGTGGATGAGAGGGCAAGTAGCAAGAAATGAAGTCAAACTGGTAAAATTAAGGGAGTTGGTAGGTAAGATAATGTAGAACCTTGAAGACTTTTTATATATTACTCTGAGCAAGAAACCTCAGAGAATTGGAAACATGTTATCCGGCTTACGCTTTAAAAGAAAGACACATGTAATAAGTGACAGGCCCCTCTCTGGATTAAGTTTAAGAGTCCTAAACATTTAGATAAGAATGATCTGCTTGAAAACTGAGGAAATAGTACATTCAGGGTACTTTCGTCCTGCTTTCTCTACATCAGCACAGCCAACTACAGACAGCCTCAACATTTTTCTGTTCTGAATACTTGAAACTATTACCAGTCATATAAAAATATTCTGTCAGAAAGAACTGAATAGACATTTTTCTAAAGAAGACATACCTGGCCAACAGGTACGTGAAAAGGTGCTCAACATCACTAATCATTAGGGAACTGGAAATCAAAACCACAGTGAATTATCACCTCATACTTGTTAAAATGGCTATCCTCAAAAAGACGAGATAACAAGTTTGGTGAGGGTGGGGAGAAAAGGGAACCCTTGTACACTGTTGGTGGGAATGTAAATTGGTACAGTCACTATGGAAAACAGTATAGAAGTTCCTCAAAAAATTAAAAATAGAACTACCATATGATCCAGTAAAATCCCACTTCTGGGTACACATCCAAAGGAAATGAAAACAGGATCTCAAAGAGAGATCTGCATCCCCATATTCATCGCAGCGTTATTTACAACAGCCAAGATATGGGAACAACCTAACTGTCGACGGGTGAATGGATAAAGATGATGCAGTACGTATATACAATTCAGCCACGAGACAGAAGGAAATCCTGCCATTGGCAATAACATGGATGGACCTTAAGGGCATTGTGCTAAGTGAAATAATTCAGACAGAGAAAGACAAATACGGTACGATATCACTTATATGTGGAATCTAAAAAACCAAACTCAGAGAAACAGAGAGTAGAGTGGTGGTTACCAGGGGCTGGGCAGTGGAGGTAATGGGGAAATACTGGTCAAAGGGTACAAACTTCCAGTTGTAAGATTAACAAATTCTGGGGATTTAATGTACAGCATGGTGATTATAGCTAATAATACTGTATTATAAACTTGCAAGTTGCTTAAAGAGTATTTCTTAGATGTTCTCACCACAAAAAAGAAATGATAATTATATGACAGGATGGAGGTGGTAGCTAATGCTATGGTGGTAATCATT